GCTTGAGCCACAGGCGCCGAGCCGAGTGTTTTTTTTTAATGAACTGAGTTCTTTATAAAATACCTCCCTTCTTATTTCATAAAAGCCCTCATTGTTGTTTGGCGGGCCCGGGCTGGATTCGAACCCGCCACCTTAGGTGTATGTGGCTGGTGCCTTAGCCACTTGAGCCACAGGCGCCGATCCAAGACTGTGAGTATTGATACACTGATGTAAAGACAGACATAAGAAGAAGAAAATAAAAGGCAGACATAAGAATCAATGGATGAAAACAAAAAGATCAGAAACAGTACCAGATGTAAATGGCCAACTGATTTTTAACAAAGATTCCAAGGTAATCCAATGTGTTAAGAAAGCACAGTATTTTCAATAAGTAGTGCTGAAACAACTGGCTATGCCTACAGGAAAAAATGGGAGCTGACTCCTTAACTCATATGATACACAAAAATTAACCTGGATGGGACCACAGACTTATGTATAAAAGCTAAAATCATACAACTTCTAGAAGAAAACACAGCAGAAAATCTTAGTAACCTTAGGGTAGGCAAAGATTTCTTAGCTATTAAAGCATGAAACATAAAAGAAAAAACTAAAAAATCAGTTCAATTAGAGTTCACAAAATTGAAGACTTTTGCTCTTCAAAAGATAACATTAGGAAAACTAAAAGCCAATGGAGAAACTGGGAGGAAGTATCTGCAAAACATATGACTGACAAAGGACTTATATCTGAAATCTATATAAAAAAATGTTACAATTCAATAATAAGGCAAATGATCCAATAAAAAATGGGCAAAACATTTAAACAAATGCTTCACAAAAAAGATGTACAAATGGCCAGTCAACACAAGAAAAAATGTTAGAACTAACTATACACTCACCAGAATGGTTAAAATTTAAAAAGACTGATAATACCAAATATTGATTTGAATGTGCAATAATTGGAACTCTCATACATTGTTGATGGGGATGCAAAATGGTCACTTTGCAAAAATATTTTGGCAGTTCCTTACAAAGTTAAACACACACTTACCAAGTTACCCAGGAATTCCACTCCCGGGTAGCTACCCAAGAAAAATGAAAGCACATGTCCACACAGACCTATACGCAATTGTTCATAGCAGCACTGTTTGGGAACTGTTTGGAATGATGTTTTAGATCTTGATTTTGGTGGTGGTTTATACAGCTGTGTGCTAAAACTCATCATTGTGTACACTTAAAAATGGATGACATTTACTTTATGACAGGTAAATTATATCTCAATCTAACTGTTGGCAAAAACAACCTAGTAGTACTTTCTCCTTCACTAATTAAGACTCACAAATAATTGCCGAAGAACTGTTTTTGTCATTAGGGGATTCAACATGTTGAGAAAAATTATGTAAAACTTGGAGAGAAGACAAAGGGAAGGCAACATGTCTTCTCAATATTACATTAGAGGATTGTTTAACGGGCCCATCCAAGAATTCTTTATGTTTCTGAGAACATTCCCCTGTCTGACTTTTGATTGCTACTGATTGTAGCCCAGACTCTACAAAGTTACATGTTAAATGCAGATTCTTGTTTAATAGAAATGCAAATGATTTCTGTCTAGTAGAAAAGATAACTCCCAAAGTTATGGATTTATTGCCTGTAGGACATTAATTAGTTTTGTATCTAACTTGAAATCTTCTTTTAACAGTCTTTTTTCAAAATGCCTATAAATACCTGAGTCTTTGAAGGCTCTTTGAATCAATTTACCCTGCTGATCCTCAAAATTAATAAGCTGAAAAATTTTGACACAAATTAATTGCATAGTTGTGCTTTTAATTTTTTTAAATTATACTTTGATAACATTACTTAATGGTTTGAGTGTCACTCCAAATCACCTCAAGTACACATCTCATATCACATTTCATCTGATGTGAGCCACACATTTTGAGAAACACATTAATTTACATTTGAAGCGAAAACTTAGAGGATTATTTCTCAGTACATACAGTTTCTTTATAACTTTATAAGCATTCTCCATTAGTACCAGGGTTATGGAATCTTAACCGTGTCTTTCTTTTTCTTTTTAAAAGACAGAGCCTTAGTCTGTTGCTGGGCTAGAGTGTTATGGCATATCATAGCTCTCTATAACCTCAAATGCTTGGGCTCAAGCAATCCTCCTACCTCAACCTTCATAGTACCTGGAACTACTGGTGCAGGGACTACAGGCGCTGCACCTGGCTAACTTCTCTATTTTCTCTAGAGATGGGTCTCCTTCTTGCTTAGGCTTATTTCAAACTCCTGGCCTCAAGCAATCCTCCTGCCTTGGCCTCCAAAAGTGCTAGGATCACAGATGTAAGCCACCACACCTGGCCAACCTCTTCATAAAAAGTGAGATTTGATTTTAACTTAGAATCTAATACTTTGTTTCTTGGATACTTCTTCTTCATCTCCAACTTCATCTTCAGTGACCTCAGATCCAGTGGTATATTCTTCTTCTTCTGAAAATAATGACTGTTGTTTCTAAATTAAAAAAAAAAATCTATTACAAATGTAATACCATTACATCTCTAATAAATTCTTTCAATGCATTCATCTAAATTTATGTTGAATCAGTGATTCAAACAAGAGCTGATAAAGTACCACTGCCTGACTATAGGAGATTGACACAAGAATTTCTACATTCAACACAGAATTACATTACATCAAATATGTTTTATTTATTTCCTTCACAGAACCTAGCAGAGTAATAGGAATATAGTAGGTTCTCAGTATTTGGTGAAATGTATCTTTGTCACTCAACTGAATGTATGTTCCTTGATGTTAAAGTATAATATGATAATTGCCAATATTAATGTAGTCCCGTAAATGTGGCCTTGGATTACTTAACCATATGAGTATTAGTTTCCTGCATCTACCCGCCCGACTGTCATCACTAATCCAAATTCCTATTCCATTCTTATAAATACTGATGGCAGATGCCATAGTTTTGGCAAACAGGTAAAATAATGAATGATATGAATACATTTTATTTTAATTCAATGTCCTAAATGTAACTTAAAAGTGACTTTAAAAAGTCTCTTAACTACACCTACAGATTATGCAGCCAGATGATGGAGTATACATCTCTGTTAAACAAACTAACCATATTATTAGTAAGTACAAAATTGGGAAAGCTGAAAAGGAAAATATACATTTAATGAAAATTTGTAAAATAACATACTGGTAAGATTCCATTAAACTAAGCTTTAATTTATGAAGAAAAAGAATTTATGAAGAAAAAGACCTACAAAAGCTGCATATAATAGCTCACTTACCAGCTGGAGAGTCCAGTTTTTCAGGGACAAAAACTATAAAACAGAGGAATCAGAGATTAATAAATTGGCATCTACCTAGAGTCTAGCTCATTATTTTCATATGGGTATTGTAGAAGAGCCCCCAAAAGTTATAAATACAGTAGAACTTCCATAGTTGACCATTTCCTTACAATGACCACCTCCTTAAGTTGACCTAATTTTCATAGACCAGACATGTACCACAAGTATGTATCAGTGCAATAGGCCTAGTTCATTATGTTGGCCACTACCGTACATTGACCAGTTTGTTACAGTCCTTTGGGTTCTACTGGATAGTTCCATTCCAGACTGAAAACATAATTTAAACTAGGCCTACTGCACTAATACATACATTGTGTGTTGGATCTATGAAGATTAGATCAGCTTCAGAAGTTGGTCACTGTGAGGAGGTGGTCAACTGTCAAGGTTCTGCTGTATTATATCCTGTGCTGGAAAAGGATGTGGTTGTCTTTAAAAAAAAAAAAAAAAACAAAAAAACACTTTTCCGGTTTTAATTCCAAAGGACAAGTGAAACACATGCAGAAATATAATTTTAGTTATTTAAAAAACTATTTCAATCACTTTTTACTGCTTATATTTTATTATAAAATAAGGAAGCAGATTATATATGGACATTTAAGAAATCTAATTTGCTGTTTAATACCTAATTTATAGGTGAAGATTAATGACTGAATATTGTATAGCTGTCTGGAGTTTATAAAGCCCTTAAAATGGAATATTCACTTTCTTGAGTAAATGCTATCTCAACCAACACAAAGTACTTCACAGGCAAACAGATTCCCTGGTCCTTAGTAACAAAGTTAAAAGGAATGAAAAATAATCAAAGTTTCTGGTTTCCTTAAAAATATTTCAGTTTTAAGACTTTTGAAATAATGAGATATACTGCTGATGATAATACAAAAATAAATTTCTTTTCTTTTTTTTTATTGAATGGTAACTATGTACATTAATGCACTTCTGGGGAAAAATAAATTTCTTATTGAAAAAGTTTACAGAACAAGGAGGTGTCAAAATATTTATTTATACTATCTTCATTCCTCAACTCATTATCTGTCCATAATAAAAATCCTAAAGATCATGTTAC